CCGGACAGCGCAGCAATGTCGACCAGCGACGGTGTCGTCGTGCATGGACATTCTTTAGGACATGTGTTGTCATCTTTTGTTGGAGCTTCTGTAGCGGATTTCTGTTTTTGTTTCGGGATATGATTTCAATTAAGGTTGGGGAATGTGGGAGCGCTAACACTCTCTATAAAGATGCTTGCGCCTCATAGCGCACGTGTTTCACGCAGAAGCCACATTCAGGGGTCACTAACCTGTTTTTCCCACTTTATAACTACCTTGTTACCTGATATCTTTTAAAAGATTAGTGACTACATGTTCCACGCCTAGTGTGTCCAGTATTCCCCACAATTCCTCTTGAACCATGCTATCGTACGCTCCCTTGATATCCAAAAATGCTAGCCACAGGGGTCTGTGTTCCTTTTCTGATATTTCGATGCACCGCGTCAGTGAGAACAGATTGTCTTCCAACCTCCTGTGTTTCCGAAACCTATTCTGCAGTTCCCCTAGCACCCCCTCATCCTCTCATCCATGCCTGCAGTCTTTCCATTATAATCTGCATCGCCAGCCTGTAGACCACTGATGTCACTGTTATAGGACGGTAGTTGTTTATGTCAGCTTTGTGCCCCTTTCCTTTGTGGGTCATGCTCATCCTGCTAAGTTTCCATCCATCGGGAACTTCGCCATCGATTATTATTGTGCTCACTGCCTCTCTCAAAGCCTGCTTAGACTTCAGACCTAATGTCTTTGTCAGCCTAATTGGAATGCCATCTGGGCCTGTTGGTGTACTACTAGGAACCCTTTTTGCACAGCCCGACCGTGTTTGCACAGCGCCACCACGCAGTGGCGGCGAGCGGGAGAAACGAAAGCGCCGACAGCCGCGAGAGGGTGTTCTACCAGACACAGAAAGTTATAGAGGAGGCACTGGTAGAGCAGCCGAGCAGGTACTCCTCCCAAGCCTCGCTAGATGGGATGGGGAAGGGGGATGAGAAAGGGAGTGGAGTAGCAGGACACGAAGTCACAACGCGAAAGGTGTCGGCTAACACTTGACAAGTTGAACACGTGCCAGAGATTTCCGGTATGAAGTGCCGGGCGACCGCTGCACTAAGGAAAGTTAGTCTGAAGGTGGCGTAGCAGTCGTTAGTCCACTTTCGCCAGACCGCGTGCGAGGCCAGGGTAATAAAGTTGGTGGGAACTGCGATAATATCACGTTAGCGTGTGAGACTGGAGTTTCCAGGATCAGACTCAGGGCATGGAAGGGCAGCGACCCAGAGGAGGGAAGCGTGGGCAGCGACATTTGCCGCTTCATTGCCAGGAAGACCTAGCAATGAAGCGGAAGACCTAGCATTTGCCGCTTCATTGCCAGGAAGATTAGTTTGCTCACTGCTTCTCTCAAAGCCTGCTTAGACTTCGAACCTAATGTCTTTATCAGCATAATTGGAATGCCATCCGGGCCTGTTGATGCACTACTAGGAACCATTTTCTCAGCCCTTTCCCACTCTCGTTGTGAAAATGGAGCCATTGCGCCACTCTATTCATCCTTGTCTATTGTGGTGCATAAAGCACTTCTGTGTTGAAATTTTGCTGTCCTCTCGACCCATGAAATAGGTGACTACAGTAAATGAGCGTGGGATTGTGGAATGCGCCATCTGCTACTGGCTTCGGGTATTGTGTACTAGAACACTATACTTCGGGTTCGAGAAGCGTAGGCGACGGCGAACCGGTTCGCCGCAAGCCTCAGATTATTCGGGATACGCGCGCGTGGTCACCCCTTTATCTTCGTCCCGATAAACCATGGTCGGTTGTTCAGCCGTTGGCTGCTCCAACTCGAGCGGACTCGCTTGCTGGATTCCGGGCCGACCGGTTGTGTGCTCGCGATCTCTGGCGTCAGCGTAGCTGTGGCCGACTGGGCTCGCCCTACGTCACGTCCTGCCGCCGACGACCTTCGACGACAGTGTAGCTCTAACCGACTGAACTTGCTCTACGCCATCTACCGACGCCAAAAGGAGCTCTCGCAGGTGTGCCCCGTCCTCGGACTCCAGTGACCGTGCTCCCATCTTTCCTATCTCTTCTATCCCATCAGTTTGTTGTCGCTCGCTCTGGCTTACCACCTCACGTCTCTTCCTCTCTTCTTCTTCCGCTTTCCCACACCTTTACTCCTACCCCTTTTTATCCCTCCTCTCCCCATCCCTTGTGAGCTACTGTGGAGGTGTCGCTCACTGAAGCAGACAGTAACGGGGCTCACTTTTCTCTTACTTTCTCTTTTAAGGATCACTTCTCTCACCGACTCGAGCGTGAAAGGCAAACGGCGTGTATCGATTCCCGTGGAACGAAGAAAGAAAACTGGGGTAGGCCGTGGCTGTGAAGAGAGCCACAGTGACAGGTAGCCTTTGAATACGGAACGTTGAAGCCAGTGTTCGAAAACCATTTTATCACAGATACGTGTGTATTCCACACTAAAAAAAGCTTACGCATGAACTTGCTGCGAATATTCTATTGAGAAATGAATTGTCACGCAAACGCCTAGCAAATATATTATGGGAACGCACGGGTGAAATCGACTTGTCATACGAGATGAGTGCCAGCCATTGCACTCATATATATGACAAAAAAAAGAACGCAAAATATTCACTGAAGAGTAAGTTTACACGAAGCGCTGGACGAGTCCATTTGCGTTATCTTGGTCAAACTGTGTGCCAGGACGGCACCCAAAGGAACAAGTGCGTTAAAAAAGCGCTAGGTTTCGATTATTCTACGTCCGATTGTATTGTGTGCCGCCATGGCACGCAGCTTGATCAATATCGCCGTTTAAATAAGCATCTGACGTCGACTAAGAAATACATCTTATAGCGCGCTGGAGGCTAGAAAAAAAGATATCTCAACGCACTCAAGTGCTGCGCTTCATGCCGACCGACTGACAATGTCGGTCGTAGCAGCGATCCCGAAATGAACTCAGAGCACACTGCTACAGTCATCCCGATCCCCCGAGATCTTTAAAATGGTGATTTTTCATCAGCAGTAACGTATCACACAATGAAAACTTTTCTGCATCGACTGATCTGCTAGCCAAACTGACAATACCCCCGACAGCATAAAAGCATTGCAGATCATTTTAGTGCGATAAAGTTTCCTTGCCGTTCATGGCTTTCGTAGCTTGTCATCGTCACAGTTGCAAAAAAAAAAAAACTTCTAAAGCACTGACATGCACGAGAGGTGTTTTTTTCAACGAAGGTGTACAAAAAATTGCCCGCAGCTTCCCTCGGGGGAACACTGAGGAGGATGCGGACCATATAATTGGTTAACGGGGTGTTAAAGTGCGACTTACTTGGGTCGATGGCTAAATTGGTTAACGTGGTTGTGAAATGGGGTGTTAAATTGCGACTTACTTGGGTCGATGGCTAAATTGGTTAACGTGGTTGTAGGAGGGGGTGTTAAATGAGTGAACACGTACACACGTATGCGAAAGGGCGGCGCTGGTCGAAGGGACGTCGATCATTGTGTTTGTGGATTCGTTGGAATTCATTTCACCGCGACCTTGGACGTCGACGCGCCGTACAAACCAACCGACGAGCGGCAACTGAGCGAGCGAGCGCCGACCTTGAGTATATATACAGCACGACGGCGCATGCACTGTCAGCTGTTGAATGTTCTCGAAACGCGACGCCACATGCGCGTCCACTGGAGAATCAGAATTGTAGATGTCGAACGCGGTGTGTAGAGGAGGAAGGGTGCACAGATGGTGGAGGAGTGAAGCGCGCGCGGTGTGTAGAGGAAGGGATGCACAGATGGTGGAAGAGTGGGCGACGGCGCATGCGCGCGCGTCAGCTGTCGAATGTTCGAGAAGCGGTGCGGACGGCGCAGTACAAGGCGCGAGTATAAGATGCTCCGCATCTAAAATGCGCGCGTGCCGCTGCTAACCCACGGAGTACATCGAACCGGAAGCCGTCGTATCCCAGGTCCCTGTGATTGCCCGTATTGCCGGTCACCTATTGGGCAACGAAGCTGAACGTCTTCAAAGCGTCTGTACGGCGGGAAAGCAGGCCGAACCCTTCGGCATTCTTAACACCTCCAATGTGAGGGAGACATGGCGAGGCCGCGCGAAAATTTCAACCCAGTGATGTTCTAACTCTTGTAATTTCCTTAATTTTGCGACAGCTCTTTTTATAGCAATCTTTGGGTGCCGCATATGTTTAGTGGACCTTCAAGAACAAGCACAAGGCGTGCGGATTTTTGCAATTTGGCGGCCGAAATTCTTGCAGTTTCAACACAGTTGCATAAATTGAATGTGCCTTCCTAAGCTGTTTCGTTGAGATATAGTCTGATGTGCTCACAATATCACACAAAAAAAAAAAGATTACAAAGGCTTACAGAACCACGGCACACAATAACTTCAAAGCAGCCGATTACATTGTATATTTCTCACTAGAATCTAACTAGCAAAAATAAAGTGGCACGAGCATGTGACAATGCTCAATAGAGAAAGGGGCCTTGTAATAGAACCAGAATCATGCTGCAAAAGGAGCCACGAAGTCCGCCTCACTGCAAGCTCTGGTCAGTAAAGACTTTAAAAAATTCAGCTATGTCCTTATAAAAAATAAACAAGAATTGCTGTCGTGTATCAAATAAAATTGAAAGGCAACAACACTGATTGGCTATGCTTGAATTGGTGTGAGCACACAATTTATTAGCTTACATGATTCTTCCCGCGATGGCTGTATGATAAATGTTAATGAAAGTGTGAGCACACAACTTGGCACTTGTTGGGCACGTCTTGCACAAATGCTGCATTGTTCATATTGCCATGTCATCGGCCTTTGTAGTTGCAAGGAAGTTTTGCATGGTCATCCAGGACAAATTGCATTGCAATAACAAAAGCCCCAGAAATTTAACAGCATGCAAAGAGCATACCAAAATGGAAAATTTTCCGTCACAGGAAGGGCAAACAAGCTGTAGCACTACGAAGAGGCAGATTAGCTCAGCAATGGTAATGCTGGTACAAATACTGAAGCTAAATACAGACAATATACAGGAGATGAATAACTTTATTGGGGCCCTGTTTAAATTACAGACGCCTTCCTCGGCGGCCACCTTTCCTGCGAGTGCCATCAGATGGAATGGGTGTCACATCCTCTGCAAGAAAAGGTAAAAGAATTTCAGCACAAGTTCCACTGTGTAGTTAACTATTCAACAGACTGCATGACATTTTTTGTGGCCTTTTTCAACTCTCAGAACTAATAGGCACAGCAAGCTCATAGACATAACAGGCCCAGTTATGTATGTATTGGAATACATGCACTTTACAGTTACTTCTATGCATTAGTGTGTAAATTGCTAGCACACAGAAATCTGACCCCCTCCCCCTCGAGTGGATCTCAAACCCTCCGCTAAAGCTGCCTAATGGGCACTGACTCCACAGAACTCTTGTCCCGACAGAGCAATTCTAGCAGGCACCCTCTTGTTCCACGCCCCCTTTTTACGGCTTCCAAAACCTGGTTGGTAGATATGCGAGGTTAAACGTCCCAAATCCACCATATGATTGAGAGACGCAGTAGTGAGGCTCCGAACCAACAGCATTTGTGCCTCCATTGACAATGCAGCTGCCGCAGCCCGGGGGTCATCCAAAACCTTGTTGAGAGGACGGTTTCAGACGAAAGTCTCTGGGCATCTCGATCCCGGAGATTAACCACCGGCGTAAAGCAGAAACGCAGCGGGTTAAGAAACACGCACAGGACGTAAAAGCAGACACACATGATCTGACAGCCACAACAGCAAACAAACAAAACAGAATGACGAGCCAGTTATGTCGGCCAATGGGAGACTCAGTATGGTGCACTTGAAAAGTGCGCCACGTGAGCCAATCAGCAATGCGGAAACAACCTTCACAAAACTCCTGACAGCAGGCAGTCTGCTTGAGTGATGTAATTTTGAGATGGCGCAAATTACGCACAAAGAAACCAGCTTTAAGATGGCGGGGCTTGATCAGCTGCAACACTCATGACGCACCCGCGCTAAGTTCAAACAAATTTTGTTCTTTTGAGAGCATTGTTTTACTGCTGCCAGGGTGCTTTGAAGGACAAATTTATTGCACTTCCAGACCGTATTTAGCATTAGTAATTTGAGAGTAGGTGCTCAGAAGTACAAACTCCCTGAAAGCAAGTTTTGCAAAAGATCTATTTTGTGTGGACAATTTTCTATCATTCTAAGACCCCCCCCCCTTAAGTTGCCACGCAAGTTAAGCATGGCAGAGAGGTAAACGACAGGCTCAAGCATTATCTTTGTAAAACTTCACAATCCCCTTGACAGCCTCAATTTATATGCGCTTTGAGGTTACAAATAGTGATCAGAACGTGATCAAAGCCTCCGAAATAAACTGAAAACAATGCCTTCCAGAAAACACTATGCCTGGGACATCGACAGCGTAGCCATTAAGGAACGCTGCCACACGGTACCAGAGGGCACTGTGCGGTGGTGCTTAGAGACTGGACAGCCGCAGCTTGCTGCTTCATGTGGTTGGTTGGTTGTGAGAAGTGCAAAAATGGGCTGTTTTTCAAACTGCGTTGCCACTGAACCGACCAAGCTATCGTGACCATATTGGTCGCGTCGACACGATTTTTTTCTTCTTGAAGTTCCCGCCACAACTTCTTTCGTACACCTATTTGCTGCGTAGTAATACTGCGTAGAAAAAAATTCCCGTTGCACGACTTCATTGGCCTATTCTGTACACGTGACTAAACGCAGCCCTGTGATTGCTGCAGCTGGTTGGTGTCTGCTGCCGCGCGTCGATGTGCTTGAGAAGCATAGTGTGACGCAGTTTTAAAAATTGCTTGCATGCAACAATGTCCGAATATTGCAAGTTCGCCAGGCGAAAAGAGTAAGGCAAGAAAAAAAGGAAAGCGTTACACCTTCGAAAAGTGCCCAATCCTGTCGAAAAACTCGGAGACGACTGCTTGCCGGCAACCTGAAGCCAAGGCTGCGGCGACTGCAGTGAGCCTCGTGAAAGCGAGCTAAGCCTAACGGCGTCGCCTGCCGATGGTGATCGGACAAGCACCGTTCGTCACAACACAAGGATGGTTCTGCAAGCACAGTTGCTTGCAGAAGTGGTCAAAATCTGTGCAAGAATAATGCTGTTAAAACTATTTCGCCGTTCCGAGGGAAAAATATCATGGCACACATACTTTTAGTCAGTTAATATGCACTGGGAATGTAATAAGACTGATTGTTTGCACGAGCGTGTCGTTTCTTCTAGTCCTGTAGCAAGTTGTCGCCGTGTGCTGGTCTGCCGCGAGGCCGCTTATCAGTTCGGTGACTGCACTGACCGAGATGTGCGACAAATGTGCGTGCGTCATCCGCGATACGTCGAATAACAAGGCGATGTTTTCTGGCTTGTCCAGAATGAGTTGCCCGTAAATGTTGCTAACCAAAGTTGCTCCCTCGCTCATCAATTTCGAGGCTACACGAGTGCCGAGGTGTTAGTTTCCTTTTCACGTAAGAGTGCCACATTTTCGAGCGGAGATCGCGACAACGTTGCGAACACGTCGTTAAAAGCAGTCTACCAGTTGCCAGTAGCCTCTAGCGGGGGCAGCGAGCGTGTTCACCGTGAACGGATTGACTTTCTGTTGTTCGTCAACGCGTGGCATACTCCACTCTGACGACCCGTCGCGCAGTTCAAGGTCCTTTCGTCAGGCGGGGGAACTGCGGCATTGGCGCGTTTAGCGGTAAGACTATGCTTCCGTTCCGTCACTACCAAGATTGACATCTCTTGTAGCTTCACTTCTGCTTTTCACTTGCCGTCCAACTGATGAGGCTGCAAAAAACAGCCGTTCTCAGTAACGTCGGCAACCAACGGGCTCGTACGTGAGTTAGGCCTACACCGGTGACTTGGCAACCGCCGTTGACCGCGTCGAGTTCACTACCCTCGTCCTGAGCCATAGCAGCGAATGAACGACCGCCGCAGGCAGTCAGTAGCACCATGACAAAATAGCGCATGTCTGTGCACGTCACGATGGTGAAGCAGACGCCGAAAGCGCCCCTTGGCCAATCGGATCCCTAGGCTTTGTCACGTGCCCCAAGCAGCCAATTAAATCGCGCGCTAGTGCGCGTTTTTGCTAAAAACCCAATGAGCAAGGCGAGCCAGCGGTGGCGGGAAATTGAAGATGAAGAACGACCCTTCCAAACGAGACCAAGATGAACTTGATAGCTCGTGTGTAACGGCAACAGTCTGGCACGGAAAAAGCACAATTTTAGCGCCAGTTTGTGCTCACAGTCATTTCACAGGGATGTTATAAATTGATTTTGTGCCAGAAATAATGACGCGAGAAGTTAGAAACTTTTCAGATAGGTGCAAAAATTGGTACAGATTCCGAAAATGTCAGCTTGCTTTTTTGCGATTTTTGGCCTTTAAGAGCCGTGTCCCCACTTAACATCCTCACTATCCCAAAAAGTCATTCTGAGAAAACGGACTGAAAGTTTCGAACACATATTTTGGTCTAAAATGACCCTGCAAAGTAGGTAGAAATGTTCTTGAAGACTCGCTTTTTCTTTTTCTGCTTGTGTTGCAGCTGTTTTTGAGCTTTTTTCACACGGAAAGGGTCTTTCTCCGCTGCCCATTGGTTGCCGGTATAGCGCCGTCAGTTTCCGACATAGCTTCGAGTTCGGTTGCACAGCAGCACGTTCGCTATCCTCAGCGGCTAACTTCTCGCATGTTCAAAAACGTGTTGCTAAATGCACAGTGGACAATGCGGTCCCACTGTTCTGAGCCGTAATCATTGCAGTTAGCGAGCGCAACGCACCAGGCGCTCTTGAGCATGAAACACTAACCTCACTTGTGACAACGGAGCTTTACACCGATTCTCGATGTCGCAATAAGCATGAATGCAGTCGTCTTGAAGAGACGAACGAGAAGCTGCTCAGCATCGATGTGACTGTCGCTCACGCATTGGCGCGTGAACGAGCCTCACCATGTGTATAAGCTCCAACAGATGCTTTCTTGAACAGAACGCGTGCTGAGTCCCAAACTTTGCCCTGCCCATCCTTAGTGACAGAACAACAATCAGCGCCCCGGGAACCCGGCGAAAGATTGTCTCGTAAAGACTGTGAAAGATCGAACAGCACACGTGAGAACCGAGCAGAATGATGGCAAACGGGAAAAGAACGCACGCCAAGAGAACAGCGGCACTTGCAAGGCTGGCCCCGAAGCAGACGGCAAGCCGGGGGAACAAATGCGTCATCACGCGCAGCAGCCAATAGGAGCTGCGTGATCGCCCACTCCCTCGAGAGGCACACGCTTCTTCCAATCGTGGCTTTGCATGCGAGCCGCTGGAGGTCCTAAAATATCAAAAGCCCCCCAATCATGAGCGATTCCCGCGTGGTCACGTGGGTGCTGCAGCTGCAGGTGGCGAAAAAAAGAGCAAGAATTCACGAGCAAAACAATACCAAGATGGTGGCACTGGGCCGCGTGGTTGGGAAATTGCAAAAGCGCGAAGTTTGGGTATTATCAGCACTCGCTGGCCGCTCACTGCGGCATGCATGTCATATAATTTATTTGACGTACTTTTGCGATGAAGCAAGCATTGATATTTACAGAACAGATAGTTTATAAGACACTACTCGAATAAGTGGTTTTCAAAATATACTCTTTTTTGGGTGCACGTTAAAGAACCCCAGGTGGTCTAAATTTCCGGAGCCCTCCACTACGGCGTCTCTCATAATCGTATAGTGGTTTTGGGACGTTAAACCCCACATATCAATCAAATATACTCTTTTGCGATGTTTCGGCTTTTAAAGAGCGCATTAGAAAGTGAAACTCACTCAAGAATAAAGGTTGCACTTTAGACTCACTCGGAGTCACCGCGAGAGGCTCTAGCAACTGTACCGGGTCGAGCGGGTGGAAAGGAGGAAAACGAAAAGGGTAGGGATAGCACTTTTGCGGCTCCCGTCACAGGCAGAAGTCTTTTTGGAGGCATTGACAAACCTTCCCTAGCTCTAAATATGATGCGCTCTGGCACCAAAACAATGTTTTCTTCTGATTGCTGTGCGTCGTCATATCTTTCAGCGTTCATTAGTAGTGAATGATTCTGTTATGCACTCAATCTGCTCACTCATCATAGCAACACATGTCGCTGTAATCAGAGCTGTTGGCATTGTAGGAAGCAACCAAAAAAGGGCATTTGGCCAGATTGGAACAGCGAGAACACCTGTGCAAAGATAAACCTGCAGTTATTGTTTTTGACCGACGGCTCCCACTAGCGCTCACTTATACTAACACCCCACACATTTTTCAAGCACTTCAGACCAGATTTCTTCGTGCCTTAACAAACTAGATAGCTAACTTCTTGAATGCTATGGTGAATTGTCATTGGCCACCATTCGAGGGCAAGAAAAAAAAGCAGCGCAGAGCCAAAGTAGGTTCACAAGGCAACAAACAAAAGCACCAAATCAGGCCGCCACAGCAGAAGGCTGGCAGTAAACAAAGCAATGTCGATTGGGATGGCGATAGACAACTTCAGTTGCCCAAAGTGGTTAGACTTTCAAAGTTTTTTTTTACGAGGGTGGACTTTTTGTGACGACTTTATGGAAAAAAAAACAAAAAAACAGAACATTCTACATTTATGTAGATTTTTACAACTTGTAGTACATATTACACTGCTTGGGATATCTAGTATCCTAGAAAGCTTTGTACAAAGCCCAGAATTGAATTCACTGGGCCCTTTAACAATTAAATTAAATGCCAATTTAGAAGTGAAATTTCACATTACAATTTTTCTACTGCCACTTCTACACACATTCACTTCCCCCAATAAAGCAGAATCATCAAGCGTATCTACTCACCGATACGCCCAATCTTCATGTCTGAGCGTGCCAGGGCTCTCAGTGCAGACTGTGCTCCAGGCCCAGGCGTTTTGGTCCTAAACATACAATGAGGACATTTTCAATGCATATACGCTAGGTGGACATCTAAGCTTTTTACTATTAACAAGCGACCATTTTACGAAAGGAGCTCAGAATTGCAGTAAAATATGGGAGTTTGCACAGCAGTCTCATATTGACTTCTTCAAAGCCAAGCCATTTGAAAGATCAGTTATGCATTTCTGTGCCCATTAATGGTGCCAAAGGTTCTGCAGATTCAATGATAAGCATCTTGAGTCTGACTGTTCTACCTTGTTACAACAAAAACAAAACCTGCATGCCAGTTCTTTAGATGAATGATCTTTTATATAAAGCAGTGGTGGTCCAGCCCACACAAAATTTGAAGCAATTTTTGAAGCACAAAGAAAGCCATTCAGAAGATGTAGAAGGGAAATACAGAAAACTTCATTTCAAAATCTCATTCAATACTAAGGATTTCTGGAGTCTCAAAACTTGCAATGCAAATTTGAATGAATAATTTCAAGCAACGGTTAGAGCCAACATGGTACGTAAAAAAAAAAAAAAAAAAACTGACCATTGCCAATTTCACCGCAAGTACACAGAAACGACCTTTGGGAGCCACAAAGCAAAGCAAAATGGCGATACTAATGTGTGACAGGTGAAGCCCTCGTGCCTACCTACCCCAACAAAAAGAAAAAATCATTTTCAGGAAAAATGTGTGCCCGCAGAAAAGAAGACTTGCTTTGCTATAACACAGTGGTGACATGCGGGCAGCATGTCACACGTTTTTGTTACGTCAGTGTGTTACAATTTACTCATTCTTTGTGGGATTAAAAGCATTTAATAAAGGACAGTCTGAATTCACAATGTATGCAGGATTCATGCTCGTTTACATGACAAAAATTCAAGGGCTCTCAAGGCTACATGAGCAAATTTTCAAGGCCCACACTGTAAGAAACCTGACCGACATGTTCAGGATAGGATGGAGGCTTGAAATACCTAGAATTCCTTGAAAAAGGGCGACATCACTGGAGCAGACGTCAAAAGCATGGCTACAAATGACATATTTTCCTAAACTTCCATTCGTAGTTTCTAAGGGGAGACACTGGTCTTGTAAGTGAAATTTTTACTATTACAGTTATTTTAATGAAATAAGGTGTGTACTCACGTTTCTCCTGGTTTTGAAAATGTAATTAGTTTTATTGTACCTAAATTAGTTCTCAGTTTATAACTAAGTGAAGTCTAAATAGGTCATTTCTTACGGGTCATTAAGGCACTTTTCCCCAATATTTTTGGCCGAGTAGTTTAATATGCAGCTGTAGCCAATGATCTGCCACGTGGAGATATGCTATTTATATTAATGCTAGTATACATCACATAAAGAATGTAAGTTGTATTGATGCTCCATAATTCTGAATATTAGCTCACATTATTGTTCACCAAATATTACTAGTACAACTTAGCCGTAAAAAAATAGCATAGCTCCAAAGCTTGATCCCTTACAAGGTCAATGGTATTAAATTTATTAAAGTTAGCTCACAATAACACGTTGGCTGAACTAGAACATGTTCCAGATGTTGGCTGAATTAGAACACTAGGTTGAGCCATTAAGTTCCAAACAATAAATGTTGCCCAGTAACAAGAATCAATCACCTACACTATAAAGCAAAACTTCGGGCTAAGTAGTGTTCACATAGGCCTCACTTTAGAAAATAGACATTTATAGGTGCTTATAGGCACTACAAAAACCATGATTTGATTGATTTGTGGGGTTTAACGTCCCAATTGATTGATTGATATGTGGGGTTTAACGTCCCAAAACCACTATATGATTATGAGAGACGCCGTAGTGGAGGGCTCCGGAAATTTAGACCACCTCGGGTTCTTTAAAGTGCACTCAAATCTGAGCACACGGGCCTACAACATTTCCGCCTCCATCAGAAATGCAGCCGCCGCAGCCGGGATTCGAACCCGCGCCATGCGGGTCAGCAGCCGAGTACCTTAGCCACTAGACCACCGCGGCGGGGCACTACACAAACCATACAAAAGCCTTTAACCTTGAGTTTTTCTCATATCAAAGTCGTATCATATAGAAGCGATAGAAACAAAATTATTTGCCTAAAATTTCATCTGTGGTCATTACATTCCAGTGCACCTTCATTTTGAAACCTCCTAAAGCATACTTAAAGCGCTAGCTAAGCAGAAGAGAAAGAACATGTAAAAGGTGTGATGACAGCAGTAAATACAAACAAAATGTAGGCTTCCAAGCAACGAGAGTCAAGTATACAGTCGTTATTGCCCAAAAGACAACATTAATGTCGCACTAGTCTGACACCTGCTACCTTAAAGGCGAAGGAAGCAAGCTCTAATACAGTGCAGCATACTGTCTCCCAACAAATGCAAGCCATTCAGCAAGTGACATACCTGGTTCCACCTGTAGCACGCAGCTTGATATGCAAAGCAGTGATGCCTACTTGTTTGCACTTTTCAGCAACATCCTGAGCGGCCAACATAGCAGCATAGGGGGATGCCTCATCACGATCCGCCTTCACTTTCATGCCACCAGTCACTCGTGCAATGGTTTCTCTGCAGTTATAGACAGAACACTGAACAGTTTGCTTCCCATGCAAACAGTTAATTGGTACAAGACACTGCACTTTAAAGCTTGAAATGAAACAAAATCTTTTTCTCGCATCTATTTATAGAACAGCAGTAGTTTTTAAATTGTAATGTTTCATGTACTCTGCCAAAAGGGCCGTGAACCATTACGGGAGTTTATTGAATCGTAGATTAACTGCCGCAAAAATTTTGTCAATTTGTCAAGAACAAGTAGAGTTGCTGGGTTTTGTTGCATCTTTCTCC